TACATATGGGACACGGAAAGAACATGAGCATATTTGTGTTAATGACTTCCAATTAGTTAAGTGCTACCCAATGTCTTTGTCTCCTGGGGCCATGTTGAAAAGCTCCCAGAGATGCAGCGTTTAGGGTTAGAGAACATTGAACTCAAAGCTAAAGATTAAAAAACCTGTGTTCTGACAGATTTCACAGGGTGGGCAAAAGGTGAAAGTGGGAGGGGGCTGGGGAGAAATGGTTGACAGAGGGATTTTGATGAATTCCCTCTATTTCCAAAAACAACTTACAGGGACTCTAAGCCGCACTGTGACATTCATCAGTTGTCAAAGCTGGCATTTCCCTTTGTGGAGCGAGACAATGCAGAGGAAAAAAGGGTGCATTATAAAGAGGAACAATGACTGAGCATCTGCTTCCAATCCCAAGAATTATGTAAAATGATAGAAGAGGGGAAAGTGTTACCAGGAGCCATAAATTGGGTTGTCCAGTGACTTTAGTCAATTGGCTGTCTTATAATTTATGTTCCCTTCAGAAAAGAATTGAATGTTCAAGGATATTGATTGTCTGAGAAAACAGAAGAAAACTCTGGCATCATAGGAAGGGCGTGAGGGTGGAAAGATGAGATCTGGCTCTTGTTTGCTTCCTCTCCTGATTAGCTGTATGGGCACCGGCGGTTCCACTCTAAGCCCCAGCCTCACTGTCTCTGGAGTGTGATTTGGTCACCAACCTTACTTTCCTGGATCTACAGTGTTGCCCAAAAGGTGCCTCTCTCCAGCATGCAGGATGAGGTACTTAAACAAAATAACTTGGGGTTTGGAGTCAACACACTTGAACTGAAGTCCTAGCTTTACTACTTTTCAAGGTTCTTCACCATGTCCAGCAGTAACTTTCTAACCCATAACATTCACCTAATACTGTAATTCCTATTTCCCAAAGTTTCTCTGAAGATGAAGAATACATAAAGTGCAGCCCCTAATACATCTGTTTAAAGTCCACTTGACCTTTTCCAATGGTTTGGATTCATTTCATAGGAAAGTCCTACATAGAAAAGATATTCAGGTAAGAAAGGCATGGTATGATAAGGACTTGCTTTACTATGAAATGACAGGTCTGAAGTTCTCAGTCCTGGCTGCCCACTGGAATCCCTAAGGGGCAATGAAAAGGACATTTGTGGTGCTCAACACAGGCTGATTTCTTTGCACTCCAGTGGGACTCCAGTGGGACTCCAGTGAGACTCCAGCCTTGAAATCATAAAACCTCTCCAGGTATTTCTAATGTGCACTGGAATACAATCTTTGCTTCTCAAAACTTTTAGTATAGGTTAGTTGGAGAAGTTGTGAAAATGCAAGTTGAGTCTCTAAGTCTAGGATGGGCTCTGTGATTCTGCAGATAAGGGAGGGGCTGACTGTGTAGGACCACAGTCTGCAAGTGACTGATGGATCCCAATGGTGGTTCTCAACTCTCAGCATTCATTTCTATAACCCAGGAGCTCGTCAGAAACATAGCACTAGGGCCTGGATCTGGCCCTCAAGGGTCTGCCTCAGTTTAGGAAGGAGCCTGTGAGAATCAGTGGTCTACAATGCTTATTTCCACCCAAAAATCCCATGATGCTAGTTTTGTGATTTTATAACATAACTTCTGTCCTAGTTCGGTTGTTCATTATAAAAGGACAGCATTGAATATGGAGTTTGTGGGACAGCATTGTCAGAAATCTGATAGGTAAGTGACCTCAAATTATGGGATGTCAAGACATGGCTGATCTCTGAAGTAACATGTATTTCTAGAGTACTATTTTTGTGAGTGAAAGTGGGCCTCAGGAGAACTCTTCTGTGCTAGTAGGACTTACTGCGGAATGACCACTCACAGAGCAGAGCATTCTCCACTGACAGCAGAAAAACAAGATGCCCCTGTACTTTTTCCTGCTCTCCACAACACATCATGTCTGCTTTTTGAAAGTAGAATCTCCAGAGAAGCAACTGATTTCCTGAACTCAGCATCAAACCAAAGAAAAGTGGAGATGGAAGAAAATAACAGCCTGCTTCATTTAGCAAAATGGATCACTGATCTTGAAAATTGCATGGACTTCCAAAAGAATCTGACTGCTTTTTTCCTTGATTTTTTTCTCACTCTCTAAGATTCTTCTTGTGCTAACTAGCTAAGACATCCTCTATTTAGGAACAGGATTTTTGCCACTTTCCAAGAAAAAAATTAAAGAACTCTATGAGGCTTTCAAAAAACGTAATTCTGAAATTGTTGCTCTGGATAAGCATTTTGTACATAATCAATATAGCAGGTACTGTTTTGCCTAGAATTTTATGTATCTGTAAATACCATAAATTCACTGAAGGGCAACTCTGGAAAGTGAGACAGAAAAAGAAAAGATCTCCGATTTCTTGTTTCCCCCTTTGGAAGTATTTGCATCAGCCAGAACACTTGATCAGTCTATAGAAAGAGCTGCATGACAATCAGAGTGGACAGGTGGGAAATGACATCAACTCATGACAGGTTAGTCAGCGGGGTCTGAGGTCACCAAAGTCCCAGGTTCCTAACTCTGCACTCTGCTCCCAATTTGACCTTCTTCAATCCAGGACCATTTGGCTTCCCTGTGCATACATGTGTGTGTGTGTGTGTGTGTGCACACTTGTGATGCGTGTGTCTCTGTGTAGTACTGAGTACTGAACCCAGGCCCTTTACACTGAAATATACTCAGCCTATTAAGTTTGAGGCAGGCTCTCACTAAGTCAGCTGGGCTCAAACTTGCAGCCTCTTGACCTTGCCAGTACTTCTCTGACCTGGGCTATGCTGGCAGAGTCCACAGCTGCTGTGGAGTGAGATTCAGCCTTATGGCCCCAGATGACCTTCTCAACAAGTGGTCACCATGCCGCCCCGTCCTCCTTCCCTTGGTCACAGAGCCATGCCACTGGTGAGATACGTTGTTGGTCATTACTGCAAACCTTGAGTGTGTGTGGAAAGGGAAGGGTGCAGGCTGCAGTGCTCCAGCCCTCACCCATTCACCTGGCGCCCTTGGCACTATCTGCCTCTAATGCCCAGGATAGGTTCTTAAGCATGGGTCCCTAGAGTGAAGTTCCGGGTTGCTTACCACTGCTGGCATTTTTGGTTCAAATGCAAACTTCGAGGCCTCTGAACCCCTGGATCTCTGATTCAGAGAGTCTAGGGGATTCACAACACTGGACCAGATGTGTGCTGAGTCCCCACCCTCCTGCAAACCTAGGACTCCTTCACTGGAACATCATCCTGGTACCCTCAAGCAAACGTGATTCTGGAGAGCAGCAGCAGCTTATGCTACCACCTCCCATGCATTTTCCAGTCGCTCCAGCTCTGGTGTCTAAGCCACAGTCACTGATGGTGACAATTCTGACCACTCCGCCCCCAGCTCCATCTGCTGACAGTCACCAGGCTGCCTTGAATTCTCTGAGCCTCCCACATGCTGCCCGTTTTTGTTCTGTAAAAGCCGGAAGCCCATGGTCTTCTCAAAAGTTTAACCCATCCCCACTGCAAGCAAGACAAAGTGGACATCTGTATTCTCTATAATTAACTGCTGCTCCCTTTCTCACTCTGCCCACAGCTGTGCTCCTCAGGTGCACGGCTCCGCCTTGGAACATGGTGCTCTCATTCGAGTGGCACGGAGCAGATGCAGCAGGGTGCAAATGCAGGACTGGTGCTGAGAAGGAGCCTTGTCTCACGCCCTCCCTCCCAGCCACAGCTCTGCAGCCACTTTTGCGTCTTCCTGCTGCAGACCCTGAACAGGCTGAGCCTCTCTACCTTCTTTTTCCCCACTAAGACTTTTACATCTCTGAAAGTGAGAGGGGTGGTACTGGCTCCGTCCTCCCAGAGGGATGAGGATTAGCTGTTGTATCGCTTTTGCTAATTGAAGCTGTGGTGCTGAGCACACAGATGCAAGCAAACCCACCAGATCATTTCTAGCCCCTCTTGACTTCAAAGGACTGCTTGTGTCCTGGAAACCAGAAGCAAGGGAGAAGCAGGTTTGCAACCCCTTGAGGTTGCCACAAGCGATTAGTTCCAGAATGAGTTAAAAATTCAGAAGAGAAAACCAGGGAAGAATATTATCAGTGTCCAGTGTGAAGTCCCCATCACGTAGAAGTGAAAGATACTGAGATTATAAAGCCACTATTTTTCTTCCTAGCTCTGCTTTGTGACTTCCAGGAATTCATCTACTTTTTTTTATTAAAGAATAGAGACATTGTCATCTTTCTCAGTGTACCATTGGGACATGCCCATCATTCAGGTTCATTGACTGGACAACTTAAATATTCCATAGAAAATAGAATTCATGCTTTAAAAAGTCTCTGATATATCAGGAGATCTGATAAAGCTCTCCAGTTTCTTTCATTACCCTGACATGGTAGCCAACATTGTACATGCACCCTGAATAGAAGAACTCGTACCTGAAGCCTAACTGATCACCTTGAACAAAGTAATGAACATGTGCACATTGGCCACATGTCGCAAAACTGATGTTCCTTACTGCTCCCTGGATATGCAATGTCAATTTTCCAAGGCAATAGCTGAAATCATCTGAAATACATCAGGAAGCTATACAAGGTCTATGTTTATCTCAGGAACCCTTAGTCTAACCGGATTCCACCCAGCTAGGTCAGGGTGCCTTAAGATATCCTCCCTTGCAGTGGCTGTAAACTTAAAAGTTTTTCAGGAAGGAAAAATATCCTGGATTCGCTTTCAGTCTTTGGCTCAAGGTGGTGGGAGTTGTTTTCTAACTCAGCTTTCTGAGAAACATTTGTACCTATAGTCAGGTACATTTTGTTTTACCACCTTCAGCAAGTGTGGATTTATTTATTCTATTACATGCCCATCCCAATTCCAGCAGCCTTTTGGAGAGGTTATCAATTCAGAAATACCAGCTGTTAAACTTCTGGGACACAACTTAAACTCGTCCAGCCTGCACTGCACTATTAACACAAAGCTAGTGTGTACATGAGAGAACTTTCCTCTTTTCTTCCCATTTTATTACCTTGAGCTCCTTGACTGTAGAAGAATCTTTGAGCTGACTCCACATCCAAGAGTCTATGAGCAGACTCGACATCCAGAAAGTAATCCATTTTGGGATAATCCATCTTTATGTTTCAGTCACAGAATTTTGAGATAAAGTATTTACTTGAATTCCTATAGAGGAAAAATCCATAATATTTTAGATGGAAAATTGTTGAATAAGAATATCCCATTATAAATAAAAAGAATATCCCATTATAATAGCCCACTATTTGAACGACATTTCCAATTCTAAGACAACCCCTATAGCCACCAACAGAGCTTTCCTGTTATAGGAGAAAATCCAACCTTTAGCCAACATTTATTAAAAGTAATATATTCTATTCAAGAAAAACAGACAATTCAGGCTAGAGAGAGACAACATACCAGTTTTTTCCTTGGTGTGTATCAACTGGAAAATATACTGTTAAATTCTCACTCTATCCATTTTCAAAGGTCTATCTGGTAAATGGCATCAGTAAATGTCAGGCATCCTGAGAGTTGATCCTCAATTGATCTGGAGATGTTCAGATTCTCCTCCAGCAGGGAGAATCGCTTGGGAATCCAACCCTCAGCTCATAGATGCCTTGCATCTATGACACTCACTGACTTGTTTGCTGGAGAAATGCCTTGAGTTCCTTCCTTTTCAGCAATTCCCTCCAGCGCATTTTATAAAGTGCTACATGATCCTCACCTGCCTGCACCTGACACAGCCTGCTTTTGAGAAAGATTTGCAGTTGGCAGAGCAGTGACAATTATTGCAGCCTTGCAAGAATCCCTATAGCATTACCATGCAGAGCCTGTCAGGAACTAAACCACTTCATCAAAACACATCCAGCCTCCTGGGTTCCTTTTCTGAGCCCACAGAGCCTTTCCTTGATATTTACACAAATGAAGCATCTCTATTTCTGCATGATGTTTTTAAAGAAAACATTAACACAACAGTCATTAAAATCAAGCTCAGACAGGCTAATACAACTGGTTTCTTTTTCTAAAGATACACATTTTAACTTAAGAAACCAAGTCCGGTAAGGGGAAACTTTTAAAAATACCCAAACATACCCCAACAACAAAGCATACTTACTGCAAAAATATGAAGGCTACCTGTCGGCAGTCAAACAAGAGCAGTTTCATCCAGATGTCACTAAATATTCCCGGTGAAAGTAAACAATTTTGATTGTTTGATTAGGTCAGTGATGAATAATGCATTCCATCCACTGGACTTCCTTTATCAGATAAATGGCCAGAGCGTGTTACCATAGCAACAGAAGGTGACGCCAGCCTCAGCCTCCCTGTGAAGAAAGAAAATTACCAGTTTCCAGTGTAAAACTTTGGCAGAAAACCATCAAAATCTATATGTAGATTTTACATCATCCGAGGCTATTCCCTACCCTACCCCCATGTCTTGTGCAGAGAGAAGTGATATAGTCATTGAAAAACCAGATTTCTGGTTTAATCATTCATTTTTTATAATCCTAAATCCCAGGTTGATTTGTAATCACAACAGAATAGTACATTAAATGGTTAAAAAAATCAGTAGGAGAAAGTTGTCTAGACAATGTTGGAGGGTTTCAGCTCCTACAGTAAAGGTGACCTGGGGGCGGGGGGTGCAGGGAATGGGAGTGATGGTAAGCAAAGGCAATGTTAGTAAGCATATGTTCAACGTCCCCCTGCTATAATTAATACACAGAAGCAGTTACCGGCATCTCGGCTGAAAATAACTCCTTCTGTGAATCAGTCACTGGAAGCAGCTTAAAAAGCTGCTTGAAATTTCCCAGATTTTGAAAGATGTGTAATAATATAGGTCTTAGTGGGGGGATTCCCCCACCTCTGTAAAGGAACGATAGCCACAAAGGTATAACCCATAACAGGAGGACCCTTAAAGCTGGCAGATACTCACCAGAACTTGTTCACCCTTTGCAACAGGACACAGGAGAGCATCAAAGACAGCTAAGCAAAACAGCTGAGGCTGCCAGCCCAAATGAGCTGCTCCTAATTTTCCCTTCAGTCTCAAGTTGAAAGCACAGAGTGGAGGAAAGTGATGGATTTTCCCATTTTATATCGTGATGAAATGCAACCCCTAAGAAGAGATCTGAGTGGAGCTGCTTTTTAGAACACATTTGACTGCTAATTTAAGAAAATTGAAAGGTTTTGTTTTACTGTCTTTTATGTGTTCTTCTCTGCTACCCCCTCAATTTAATTTGCATTTAAAATTATTCTCATGTCTCCTGGGCTCTACAAGGTGTGGAACACTTTCTAATCATGAAGGCTGCTCTGGTAGGGTTAGGTGCAACCCCACTTTTATTCTGAGCTACAAAACAGGGTGGGTTGTTAAAATTGTGAGCTGCTTTCTGCAGAGAAATATAGGGCCACATTTAGTTTTAGACCCTCCTTATTCCCCTGGTTTTCTTCTTCCTGCTTCTGGATATGTGGCCAAATCTCCAGCCCAAATTATGCCAGTCATCTAAACACATTCTTTGTGTGAATGTAGCAAAATTATCCCAACAACAAAAAGAAACCTTGGTAGGTCTCCGAGGTTATTCTGATTTGCTACACTCCCTACCAACCTCAATACAGACTTGGATATTTTGAGATCTATTCAGAAAGGGTATAAGGAGAGCTCAATCAGACCCTGCAGTGGTGGCGAACCCATGGCACTGGCCTTTTGTATGGCAGCCAGCCTTTCGTTATCACTGAAAGCTCTGAAATGTTTGCCATCACCTAGTGTATGTTTTACACCATCCTCTTGCATGCATTGTGGACTAAGCAGAATTGATTATTAGTTTGATATGGTGTGCAGTGTGCTAGACTGAAGAAAGGAGAAACAACATTTAAGAAGAGTTGAAGGAAGATCATGAGATGCTCCTTCCCTATGTGCACAGGGCTGCCAGCTGCCCTGAAGACAACCCAGGAAGCATCAGTTGTGTGTCTTGTGGGCTCTCCTGGCCAATCAGAACAAGCCAAATGACAAGCTGGCGGTGCAGATAGCTAAACGTAATAGAAGAAGAAAGTACAGTTCCCAATGGGACACTTGTACAAAGCCAACTTTGGACTTTGAATGCTCAAAACTTTGCTCAGACCCAAGGACTTATTTCTTCAAGGTTACATATCTGTTCAGCCCCCAATGCAGACATGCGGAACACTTGACATTTACAAGAGAAGAAAGCTGTCTTCAGGTTCCTTTCCCTTACAGTGAGGTGTGGGCGAAGGGTTCTGAGCCCTCTATTGTGATTCTACTGAGAGTGTAATGACTCATAGGAGAGAGAGAGAGAAGGACAGAGAGAGGAGATGGGGGGGAGAGAGAGAGAGAGAGAGAGAGTCTATATGCTGTGACAAACACCAAACATTTAGGTCAATGCAAATGAATGTGTGATTAATGTTGATGCTAAGCAGGACTTTTGAAAAATAGAGTTGATTTCTGGGGTGGGAGTGGGTTTGGAAGTCAGTCATTTCTGGAGAATTGACCAAGAAAGGAAGGGAAATTTAAAGTATCTTACAAATAATATAAGAAGGCCATGTTTTAAGAAAACTCATAGTGAATTTCAACTTAAATGTATTTGGGAAGGGGATGATTGACATTCACTTGTAAAAAGGGGCTTAATTTTACTAAATAATCACTAGATTATGTAACATTATATAACCAACTTCTAAACTATATTTTCAAAAAATGATTTCATTTTCTGGGAACATAACAAAAGATTACAAGGAAGAATATATATATATATATATATATATATGAAGAAATTATTTTCCTAGGTGGGGAAACATTAATGCTCAAAAGCCAAGGTCAAATTATAATCAGCTCAGCTCTGTTTTATAATAATCTGCACAGAAGCAATATTTAAGATGGGCCACTGCTCTGAGATCTAACAAAATCAGAGACAGTAGAAAGGTCAGGCCAGGTATTGACTAACACACAGCACTGAACAATTAACACTCAAAACACCCTGAGACATCAACTCTAAAAGTTAACTCAGAAAATGTTAACATGGCTCTAGGACCTAGAAATAAAAAATAATTTTAAAACTTCCAAAGTAGAATTGACTTTCACATTGGTGGCACTGAAGTCTGAACATGCAGAACTATAGTGCTGAACCCATCTAGAATATAGTAATACATAATTTTCTGTTTCCAGTTTGGTGGTAAGAAGATGCATTGAATTCAAAATAGAGATTATTTCATGATGGACTCTAAGGAAAAGTAAAGATGTCTGGTTGTATATATTTACTACTGGAGTTTGCTTATTTATTCTATCAAATGACACAAGACCCAAAAGTTCTGAGAGAGAAGCTCACATGAATTGTAAATAGGTAACATGCTCTTTTCTACCATCTTACTACCACTGGAGTCAGTCTGCTTTTAGTCTGTTGACAAAGGTTCTTGTGATTTTAGAATTTTATCATGAATTTTACCTGTTTAATTGCCTTTTATTCCAGAGCTCATTAGGAGACTATTAGGCTTTATATTTGTGGTAGGCTAGATGAAGTTCTGCCTTCTACCTGTCTGAAATCATGAGGAAGTTTCTCTTTTTCCTAACAAACCCAATTTAACTTTAAAATATTAGAAGCTCGTTTAAAATGTGGTGACCTCTTGAATCTCTTGGTGGGGCACCTACATGGAAGACGTGCATGAAGTGCTAGCTTGTTAACAGTTACCTTTTCCCAGTAACTTTGGGGTGGTTGGTTCCAGGACCCTCAGGGATACCAGAATCCTCAGACACTCAGGTCCCTTATATCAGATGGAGTAGTACCTGCCTTTAACCTGTATATATCCTCCTGCACACTTTAAAACATCTCTAGATTACCCAAAATACCTTAGCAAAATGTAAATGCTCTGTCAGTATTTGTTATATTGCATCGTTTAGGGAGGAATAACAAGTAAAGAAGGCTGTAGATGTTTAGCACACATGTAGTTCTTTCCCTGGACTATTTTAATCTAAGGCTGGTGGAATCCACAGATACAGAACTGAAAGTTACAGAGGACTGACTGCATAGAAAACACTGTTCATTATTTTTATAAGTAGTTGGCTCCAAAATAGATTTGCTCCAAGAGAATTGGTTTCTCTCTGGTGGGCAAGTCATTCTCTTACCTGCTAACCTTTCATTCAGTGGAAATTTTTCTTTCCTTGCTCATTAAAGCTTGTCATCAAATACGAGACGTATTGCAAACCTTTTATCTAAGGTATTATTCATATTAAAATCTCCTTGGGAGAAGAAGTATTTTTAATTATCATCAGTTATTTTTACTTGAGAGTGAGTTAATTTGCAGTCCTTTTGTTTTTGAGAAATTTTTGATAATAGGTGGAAAGCTAAAGAAGGCTGGGAATGTGGACTGAGTTTAAAAAAAAAAAAAGGAAAAGAATCCTCATAGGGAGGAGGAGCTTAATTCTACTCCATATAAGCCTGCAGTCATATTTTGAGGGTTTACTTACATACACAATGCCAGTATTTTGTTGGCAGAAATCATTAAATCTATAAACAGCTCAATTAGAGCAAGGGCCTGAAGCTGCCCTGAAGGTCCAGAGGCAGATTTGCAAATCCAGTTCAGGACATTACAGCAAAGGATTCTCCCCTCTGCCAATCTTCTGGAACTGCAGGACAGCACCATGTCAAAGAAGGAACAGCCTTGGCCAATATGACAGAGGCTAAGATCTAGCAAAGTAAATCCTTCAGCTCTAGTTGCTGGCACTTCTGAAAATATCCTTTCTGTCTGAGTATTTTGAAGAGAGATCAGTTCAAAGAATAAAGTACAAGAGTTCAAATGTCATCTTACACTTCTGCCAACTGGATTCTAGTTAAGTTGATCTTGTTGGTAATATGGAAATTTCTTTGCTTGGCAGAAAAATTAATCAGAAATTATATCTCCACTTCAATGTTTGGGGAGCTGACTGACAAGTAGGGACAGAGAGAAATGTGAGTAAGGAAATGAGGAATTTTCAGGTAACTTTCTACCGACTACATAACTCTCAAATCTCTAAATACAAAGACGTAAACATGGAGAAATGTGTTGGCAGTAGTAGTTCGTAACATGAGTTTTAAGATATATGATAATCATATTTGGCTTCATTCCATCTCAAAAAAGATCACATTATCCTTGTTTGTGCCTGTGTGTGTGCATGTGTGGTTTATTTTCAACTTTCCTAGGCATGGCTGAAAATTAATCACAAGTTCAAGTGCATTTTTCTAGTCCTAAAAATCCAGATAACTACCTGAAAATATCCAAAGACATGTTGAAGAAAGAAAAAATAACAATGTCTAAGTTCTGCAAGTCTAATAGATCCTGCATAGATAATGGGGTCTCAGAGATTCCAGTGCACATTAGAAAAATGAGATGGAATACAGCAGTGGGGGCCCAGGGAAACAGGGAGTGTGGGTTATACCAAAATAGTATGTCAAAGGGACTGGCTATTATTTAATTTCTTGTAGGCTTTAAATACATTGTCAAATTCCACAGCAAGATCTCTACACCTAAATATTAATACTTAATGTTTTCTCATATACATATGCATAAATATTTAAAGCATATCTTTGTATAACAAATATTATTACCATTCACAACACAGTCCCTAATTTGATTTGTTCATAGTTAAATGCCTTTAGCATCTGTCACCTGAAGGCATCATATCACAGATATCAGATTTCCAAATCATAGATCTCTGCTCTTTGTGGATAGAAGACAACAAGCTCTAACCCCTCTATGATGCTAACATAGGTAATGATGGCAAGTGGGGGCTTACTTCTGAAACAAAGAGAACCTTACTGGAATTCACTGAATTTTAATTTCTCATAATGTTATTAGTGTGTGAAAAGAGAAAAACTCTATCACAATTAGCCCCTGAACTTGTCGTGTAACACGCAGCAAAGAAATTTGTTGAATCATTCAGGAGTAGTTCCAGATACGGGCCTGGAAATTTGGATTCTGATACTAACAGAGCGAGGTAACTTCTGTGTATTTCAGTATCTCAGTAGCAAAGATGAATATCAAGGTCAAATGAGATAATATATGTAGACAACACAGAACCTGACACATAGAAAGTATGGAGGTTTGGTATTTTTAGAAATATTTTTGAACA